CAAATAGATGCTACTATAGTAAGAATGCTTTATTTATTCTAGACCTCAGCAGCAATCTCGGGGAACTCGGCCAGTACAAGTGTTTCCTCTTCAGCAACCAGTGGCCTTACGGGATGGGCTGCTTTTGCAGCCAAAACCTCCTCTGCCAATCCATCAACTGCCAAACTGGGATCAACAGCACAGAGCACCAGTGGGAAACCTGCAGCTTCTTCAAATAACCAGAAACCTGTGGGTTTGTCAGGATTAGCAACTTCCAAAACAGGACTAGGGTCAAAAATAGCTTCTGCCAACAACAGCACAAACCCTGTTCAGCTGAAACCTCCTCCACCTCTGACACTGGGGAAAACCACTCTCAGTCGTTCGGTAAGCAGCGACAACGTCAACAAAGCAGGTCTTCCTAGTCCCAGCAGTACTGTGCCGAGCTCCAGCAGCCAGGTGAGCAGTGGAAATGGCAACAGTGGGACTGCAGGTAACAGTGGGGGCAGCACAAGTAAAACCTCAGCAGATACCAGTAATCAGTCAACCTCCCTAAAAGGCCCAACTTCTCAGGAATCTCAGCTCAATGCTATGAAGAGGTTGCAAATGGTCAAGAAGAAGGCTGCTCAAAAGAAGCTGAAGAAGTAGTATGGCTGCTTGCTAATTTTGTTGGTTGTGTTCTGTGAAACAGCATCATTGGTGTTTTTCTTAAAGGAAATCCCCTGGTTACTGGACTGAAACAGTAGTCAAATTGGGGAAACCCAAAACCTATGTTATACAGGAGGTCAAACTTTGATAATCCTAGTATTCCTTCTGACTTTGCAAATCTGTGAATTGAATATATTGGAGGAATTCACTCCTGTTTTTTTAGCTCAAACCACTGAAATGTGAAATTGTAAAAGTTGGGTATTTTGGAGTGTAAAAGAAAGAAAGATCTATATGGACTCTTACTAAATTGAACTTACTGAAACTGTCATTCTTAAATGTTATTAATAAAAATACTATTAACCTGGGAAATCATTGCTGCTTTTCTTTCATCCCGTTTTCCAATACTTAAAATGCTTCAGCTGTTCAGAGTTGTCTATATTGTGCAGAGTTGCCGTAAATTACACAGTTCCTTAGGGAAAAAGTGTATTTTGTTTTAAACAATTTCAACACTTAGCAGTTTGAGTATTTCAAGTGGACTGTTTTGGTTATATGCAGTGAGAAACTTTGTGTCACTTAGTTGCAATTCTCAGAGAGGAGGATTAACAATCCCTTTCTATTCCATCTTTCCATGATTCTGGTGAACCCCAGTCCAAGTTCTCCTTGAACACTTCCAGGGGTGGAGCATGTGGATGAGTCTTTATAAAGACACTGCTGTCACCCTCTCCCCTGTGACCAGCTGGGGACACAGGGATGGCTAACGTCAAGAAACAGCAGGTGCAGTCCTGCAGCTGAAACAGACGTGCTTCCTTTCTGAGAAATGCCACCCTGTGCCCACAGCTTCCTTCTCCAACTCTTAGGTGTCCCACTCCCAGCTCATGCACCTTGAGTTTGTCTTGGGTGGGATGTGTCGCTTCTTTGCAGGATCACATATGCAGGAGGTGGTGGTGAAAGGCCCAGCTGGTGTCACTGAGGTGTCCCCTTGCTCTCCCTCGTAACCCCAGCAGTGCCTCAAGCCAGAAGTTAATGTTCCCGTAATCACTGTGCTCCTCCATTTCTGTGTTGCAACCCAAAGAGAGCAAATCTTAGGACAAGTGCTGAAAAGTTTCCTTTCCTGTTCAATTGTCTTTGAACTCTGGAAACACTTGAGGATCGGTCAGGGCTTTGTCCCCAAAAAGCTCTTGACCTGCTGCTCCAAAAGGACTGGCTGGTGTGGTACATGCACAGGATGCTTCAGATTTGGGCTGCTCCAGGTTTAGGCTGCTCCGTGTTTAGGCTGCTCCAGAATCTAGAGTTCTCTGGCAAGTTCTCTGGAGGAGATTCTATTATGATGTGTTATACTTCATGTTCTGTCGGTGGCAGGGACACCCGAGGCCCCACATCCCACACCCAGGTGTGATGTGAGGGGTCATGGTAGCCAGGCCTGCGCCAGGCCCCAGCCCTGCGGCTCTCCCATTGCCTGACAACCCCTGTTCTGCCATGGGCCCACACCTGTTGCTGCTGCTGGTGATGGCTCCCTGCCTGGCGCAGCCTGCGGTGCCCTGGCCAGGCCCCTGCTGCTGCCAGCGGCATTGGCTGAACTGCACCTATACTGCCTTGGCCAGCATGCCTCTAGCCACCTGCTGCCAGGCCTTCTCCACTTTGTGAATACCACAGACAGTCCACCTTAGCAGACCCCCTTCAGCTTCCCCCCCTTGGATTTTCATTCCTGGTAGCCCCTCCTGGGACACCCTAAGAGCATCTCTGCCAGGAGACATCCTGCTTTTTGGGGTGAAGCCAGGCTGGCCATGCTGGTGCATCTCCAGGCCAACTCCGCTTCCACCTCAGCAGCCAAATTGGCAGGAGAATGTCTTTTGCAGAGGAGTGACAGTGCCAATTGTTTCTTTGCAGAGATTTCACTGGCAACTCGATTCCTTTCATCAAAAAGCAAGCATGGAGGGGATACCCATGGGCTGAGAACTTGCAAGTGTCCTCTAGCATTTAAATTGCCAGAGAAGTTCAGGTAATTTCAACCCTTTCATCTGGTTTTTGAGCTAGGGGTGTGACGAGCACCCACACAAATGGTTTCCATCTGAATTCAAAGCTGAGCTGCTCAGCAAGGAGGGGTGTGAATCCCCAGGATTTTCTTTCTTTGCCATCTTTCTAGGATGACAAGGAATAACATGAGTTGTGTCCCTCCCTTCCAACAGGACCATCCCTCTGCCTGTTTAATCAATTAGCATCAGCAGGCCAGGAGCAAGTGTCTGCTCCTGCCATGAGTGGTGATGATCCCTGGAGTGACTCAGAGAGATGTTTAGGTAAAGTTGCTGCAGGACTTTTCACCTCGAAATTTCATTTCCTCCTTGAGAGCAGCTGGTGGAACTGTAAATCTCCATTTGGCTCATTCCAAAGCCCTCCAGGACAACAGCCTGCAGGCAGTGAAGAGACATTCACTGGCGGATCTGCTACTGCTGAAGCACCTGTAGCATAGCAGTGGGCTACTGTCTCACCCTTCCCTTCATTATGCGCTTTCCAGTCTTCCATGTTTTTGATTTTGTATCTTTAATAGGGTCCCTTTAGCATCATTTATTCACCAAATGTGCTGTAGGATGGAGAGATTAAGAAGAAAATAGCCATTTGGGTCACACATGTGGTTACCAGCCTCTCTCTGAGCCCTCAAACAAGAGGTGCTGTTCAGGCTTTTCTGTCTGACTTCAGCAAGCGAAGTAGTGATGGCATGAGGGGAAGGCAGGCTGCATCTCTGGCACATCCAGAGGCTCACCTATCGGTGTGGTCCATTCAAATGCATCGTCAGCTGCTAAACTGTTCCTGCATAAAGTACCATTTCTGTTATCAGAGAGGAAAATCAAGCCCTCAAATAATTCTGGTGGGATCAGAGCTAGGAAAAACATCACCGAAGGCCACCTCCCGTCAGAAGTGATGTCACAGGTTACACACCACGGCAAGCTAATATCAGATAGAAACACCACATGAGACCAGAGCCGTGTAACATATGTGCTGCCAGTGTAAAAGCAAATGAAAGTAAACATGACAGTGCAAGTGTCATTAACATTTTGTGCTCTCATTGTAACAGGGATTTATCTTTCAATAAAATCCAGTTCATTGAGGAACATGCTTTTGAAACATTTCCTTTTCTGAAGCTTATGTGAGTTACGGAAGTTTCGTTCTAGTGTATTTAGTGAAGTCTGCTTGCATTTAGAACCCTTTTTGTGCTAGAAAATGTTCCTGGTTTTAGAACAATGACTAGATTTCTCTTGCTAAAAGACCTACTGAGCTAAAGAGATTAGTGCATGGCTCCATGACCCACAACAGGATGGGAGATCATAGCATGGTTGTCCAAACACAGCCATAATAGAAGCCTTTTCTTGAAGGCTTGCTGTATCCTCGAACAGATAAAATGGCAGTCTTCTCCATGTTCTACCTTGGATTTGCATATTGCCTACAAATCAATGCTGCTTCACTCCAGCTTCCTGGAGGAGAGACCCAATTCATTTCTGTAATCTTTTTCCCCGCAAACCTTGATGGAAATATCATCACAGAGATCCAGAACGGCACTTTCTGGGCATGGCATGGGATGCAGTTTTTGCAGATGCTCTAAGTGTAACAAGGTCTAAAGGTAGATCAGAGTGGGACTCCACAGTGACAGTAGGGAAGATCAGATTTGCTCTCTGGAAAGTACTGAATCCTACTACAGATGTCATCCAGGGTCCACCAGCAGTCTACAGTCTGAAAGCAGTTTTTTCCTACCGTCCTTATCTTCTCCATGACATCTTTGCACCAGCAGCAGATTCCAACAGCAGTGATGGGAGCCCAGGGGGATAGACAAGAAAGAAATGCTGCAGGTAGGAAGAAGAGGCAGGGTGAGGAGGACTATGGGATTTCTATCCAGGAGGACCCAGATTTCTATCCAGAAATTTCACTTTGCATATTTGCATTTAGAAGTAAAGGGTCTCAAAACCTTTTACAGAAAAGAAACTTTGTTCTTTTGGTGTCTTGAGAAAATGTGACGTAGTCCATAGACAGTTCTATCAAGATGCCCTTCCAGGCACAGGATCACCGTTTCCATCTGGACCTGAAGTGTGTGGGCAGCTGGGGTGCTTTCCCCACCTGTGGTTCACATCCATAAGGAAAAAGCCACAGTCTCCCTGCTCTCCTGATAAGTGCAGTACTCCTCACATCATAAACCAAGTAGGTGGTAGAATGAATTATGAGTGACAATTCTCATAGGACTAGGCAACAGCTTTGCCTGGCTGGATGCAGGAAAGAGTAGAAGTTTATGGGCAGTGGAAATGTAAGAAAATATGAAAAGACGCCAAAATAACACTGAATTCTTAGTGCAGGGAAGCAAAGACAAGGTGTGAGCTCAGGATGAAAGAAAGAGACATTGTGTTTTCCAGAAGCAGCACTTCTAGACTTTTGCTCTTTTAGCAGGAGATAATTTGGACCTGTTGTATTTTGTGAATCAGCCCATCGACATCTGGTCCTGCCTCTAGCCTTCATCCCAGGATCTTTGCTCACACATGTAGCACTGAGACAGTTGTTTATCTTCAGGCTGAATTTTTCTGTTTGTTCTCCACATGAAAGGAAATTGTTTGGGGAGGTTTGAGTAAAAATTTTTCAGCCAAATTCACATCTGCCATCCACAAAAGTCAGCTGGATCCTTATCCACCATAAAGCTCCTGACACCGCTCACCTTGTGGAGAGGAGCCTGGAAGTGGCATTTCAGTGTAATTCCACATCAAATTCAACAGGCACAACTCTCCTTGGGCCTCTCAGATACCCAAAGGGTAGAAATGCAGGTGTGTCAGGTCAGAAGCCCAGAAAAGCTTCCTGCCACAGACAAGAACCCTCAGACAACTCCCCTCATGCACAGCTCTTGTCCCACCCAGAACAAGGTGGCGGTCAGCAGGGACAAGGGCAAAGAAGTTGGGTCCTGAGCCCATGGGGGGCTGCATGACCATATGTGACCAGAACTCAGACTCAACCAGGGTGTAAAAGGAGCCCCGCCAGAGAGCCACTGGGAGTCGGTATTCCTTGGAGCAGCAGGCCTGCAGTCAAGGACTCTCCCGTTGGTTCAGGACACTGGCCAAGGAGACATCTTGAGGGTGAGAGCTCTCCCTTTTCAGGTGAATGACTGCACATTTTGGATCATTGGCCCTAAA